GCTGAGCCCCATGGCAGTGTTGGTGGGTGCTGAGCCCCATGGCAGTGCTGCTGTGCTGGGTGCTGAGCCCCATGGCTGTGCAGGGTGCTGAGCCCCATGGCAGTGTTGCTGTGCTGGGTGCTGAGCCCCATGGCATTGCTGGCTGTGCTGGGTGCTGAGCCCCATGGCAGTGCTGGGTGCTGAGCCCCACAGCTGAGCCAAGAGCCTGTCGCAGGACTCGGTGTGAACGTGTCCCCCTGCTCAGGGCCAGGGAACGCCTCCATCTCCTTCTCCCTCCTCCTGCCCGGGCTGCGGGCGGCTCTGTCCCGCCCCATGGGGCAGCAGGCAGGGCCTGGCCCCCCCTCCGCCCCCGAGTGACGGCGCTGCTGACGCGGTGTCAGCGCGGGCTGTGACGGGGGCTGCGGGGGCTGCGGCGCTGCTCCCCACGGCCGGGTCGCCGAGCCTGCGCCCCTGGACGCTCCGGTTTGGCAGAGCCTCATCAGTATTCCTGGTGCATGGCCGAGCCAGCTGGAGCTGGTCTGCGGAGCCCGGCAGCTCCAGCACCGTCCTGGCACAGCGCTCGGGGTCCTCCTGCAGCTGCGGGGGCTCAGCCGCTGTCCGTGGCACTGCACGGAGCCCTCCTGCGTGTGCTGGGGGTTCTGCGTGCCCCACAGCCTGAGCACATGGGGTGGTCACCTGTCCTGCACCCTGTCCTGGTTTTGTTCCTGGCTGTGGGGCTCAGCCTGGTCCCCTCCCACGGTCCCTCCGCCGGCACGTTCTGCGTGGGGCTGTCGGCCTCAGGCACTTGCAGTCCCGGTAGCGTGTAGGGCCTGGGGCTGGCTGGTGTCTGTTGTGTGCTCCTGGTCTGCCTCTGGCATCTGCCCACTGCGAGGGCACTGGGAACTACAGGGCCACCTGTACTGGGAACCTCCTCCCTCGTCCCCGGCTGCCGAGGCAGTGCCAGTCCCTCGTTCACGCAGGAGGTGTGGGGCTGCAGGTGTCCCCCAGACTCAGGCCCCTCTGCAGATGGACAGTACTTTCAAACCCAGGAGGGATGATGAGTGGAGGTGTCCCACCCTCCCGGCTGGGCATCCCCCTGACAACACAACCTGCATGTCTGCAGACCTCCAGAGCAGCAATACCTGTTGGGTCTGGGGGAGCAGTAATACCAGTGCATTGGGTCTGGGGGAGCACAGGGATACCAGTGCCATGGGGTCTGGAGGAGCACAGTGGAGCATTTGACCATGGTTCAGACTCCTTTTCCATTTCGGGGCTCCACCCCACCAGCACCAGCCAGCACTGGAAAATTCCCTGGCTCTCGAACTCTTCCCGTGCAGCTGTTGTTGAGCCTTTCATGGATTATGTTCATTTCAGCCAGATGTTTGTGCCATAGTATTTGCACCATGCATGTGACTCACAGAAGTGCTGGTAGGAGACCAACTTGCTTCTGTCCCCAGGCACCTGCCATGGGTCAGATTGCCAAAGCCTGATGTCCGTGTTGCTTCCTGGCTCTTGGAGATGCTTCTGGAGCCCTGCATGGCGCTGGGAGCTCCAGCTGAGCCGCTGCCCACCGGGTGGGTGAGCTGTCATCCGTCATTTGCATTAGACACGCACACAGCACCAGCCCAACCCAGTGTGCTCGGGGCATGAACTGCTGGAGAAGAGGTGTGTAAAGGCGTGTGGGGCGTTTCGGTGGTGGCTGTCTCCAAACACTGGTGGCCTCTGGTCTTGTTCTCAGAGCAGTTCCTCCGCTGGTGGAGGGCTGGGGCAGCCAGAGCCCACGTGCTGCCGAGACCTGGTGGGGTTTGAGCCTGTCTGTGGGTGCAGGTGCCCCGCAGCCCTTGGCCTCAGAACTTGGCAGTGGGGCTTCCTTTTAGTCTATTTCAGATGTAGGAATAACACAGAGGGGATCGTATCAGTGCACATGTCAGTGCACAGAGTGTATGGAAACCTGTGCCACAAAACAGCCTAATTAGGTAAAGACACCACTGTGCCATTACTGTGGTAAGGACCAGGATCTTACTGGGGTGCAGCAGGACAGGTGTTGTACCTGTATTTCTTTTTGGGATGCTGGAGGCCCCAGCTGAGTGTTGTGCCTGCATTCTGTCTGGCTTTAAGAAAGGTGGTGACAAACTGCAGAGAATCGAGGGGCTGCGTTAAAAACACAAATAGCTTTAAAAATACAATCCCTTGTGGGACAGGGAAGGGGACGTCATCAGCTGAGGGGAACTCTCTGTGTTTCTCAATAGGTTTAAGGGAGTTTTGGATGGGGTCACTGGAGGAGGAAAAGCTGGAGCAGCAAGGAGGGCACAGGACTGGAGAGGGTTGGGGATGTCACAGGGATGGGTCAGACAGACCCTGTCAGGGGGACCCAGCATGTCTGGTCCCACCTTGGTGGGCAGCGTGTGGTGCATCATCTCTCCAGCAGACAGTCTGTGCTTCAGCAACACCTCACAGCCAGAACTTGCCAGAATATTTTAAAAAGCTGAGACTCATGTGGAAGGGAAACCATCTGGTGCTGTCGGAGTACACGTTAAACCTAGGATTTGGGAAGGGATGAATATAGACAGTCCTGTCTCCCTGTAGGAACAACTTTGCATCCCTGGGAGCACAGAGCTGTGCCAGGCGTGGTGGGAAGGAGCTCACGAGCCTTCTGCCCTGGTTCCCTGCCCAGGGCAGATACGTGTGCCTGAGGTGTCCCTGCCAGGTCGGCTCTGACAGCCCGGTCCCTGTAGCCAGCCCCGTCGGGCGTTCAGTGCTTTGGAAGACATTCCTTCATAATTGCTTCCTGCAGAATTCCTCGTCCTCGCTGCAGTGTGGCTGCTCCTGGAGACGGGATGGCAGATGCTGTGGATGCGGGTCGGATCCAGTCTGGCAGCTCATGTGTTCCTGTGACCTTGGCACAGATGGCAGAGCCGCAGCTCTGGCGGGTTGTCAGGCGCCTTCTGCTCAGTCCCGGGCATGGGTGCCCGTTGGCTTGGGAGGGAGGGGAGCAGCATGTGTCCATCTCTGCCCACAGAGCATGGCCGTGGCATAGGGAGGGGCAGCTCTGAGCTGCTGTTCTGTGTGTCTGGCTGCGGGTACTGGGGAGGGGAACTGCCGGGGTAAGCTGGAACTGTCCTGGCGGGTGTGAACACCCGAGGGAAGAGCAGGATGTGCAGCCTTGGGAGAGGCTCTGGGTGGGAGCTCTGCTCCCATGCACTGGCATGGGGGTCTATGGTATTGATGGGGTGGGAGGGAAGGCAGATGGTGGGACCTGCGGGTTTAGGAGAGGATGGAGAAGGGAGGGGAAGGGGCTTGGTTGAGGCGCCGGCTATGCTGTGGGGAGGGGAGGGACTGGAGGTGGGGTTTGGCTGTGTCCCAGAGCTGGATGCCTTCAGAGAACTGGAGACGGCCCGACTGTGGAGGAGGATGAGGGATCAAAGAGAGGGCAAAGTCCAACAAGGTGATGCTCCCGGTGTCGCCCCCGGTGCCGGCCCTGCCGGGATCCCGGTGCCGATCCCGGTGCCGCTCCCAGTGCCGGCACTGCCGGGATTCCGGTGTCGCTCCCGGTGCTGCTCCCGGTGCCGCTCCTAGTGCCGGCACTGCCGGGATCCCGGTGCCGCTCCCGGTGCCTCTCCCGGTGCCGGCCCTGCCGGGATCCCGGTGTCGCTCCCGGTGTCGCTCCCGGTGCCGCGGGCGGCGGCGGCCAGCGTGGGCGCAGCGCCCCCTGGCGGACACGGCGGGCCCGTTCCCGGTCCCGGTCCCGGCGCTGCCCCGGCGGAGCCCGGCCCGGTCCCGGTCCCAGCGCTCGGCGCTGCCCCGGCGGGGCCCGCACTGGCCCTGTCCCGGTGAGCGCCCCGCCCCGGCTCCGGGCTGGCCGGGCAGCGCCGTCGCTCCCCGGTGCGGGCTCTCCCGCGGGCACCGAGCGCGGCCGGGCGGCGACAGGGACCAGGGACAGGCAGCCCCGGGACGGCTCCGCCGCCGCCGCCGCC